GTCGGAGTCGTGGGAGTCGTCGGAGTAGTCGGAGTCATGGGGGTAGTAGAAGTCGTGGGAGTCGTCGGAGTAGTCAGAGTCGTGGGGGTAGTCGGAGTAGTTGGGGTCGTCGGAGTAGTTGAAGTCGTGGGAGTAGTAGGAGTCATGGGAGCCGTCGGGGTCGTCGGAGTAGTTGAAGTCGTGGGAGTAGTAGGAGTCATGGGAGCCGTCGGGGTCGTCGGAGTAGTTGAAGTCGTGGGAGTAGTAGGAGTCATGGGAGCCGTCGGGGTCGTCGGAGTAGTTGAAGTCGTGGGAGTAGTAGGAGTCATGGGAGCCGTCGGGGTCGTCGGAGTAGTTGAAGTCGTGGGAGTAGTAGGAGTCATGGGAGCCGTCGGGGTCGTCGGAGTAGTTGAAGTCGTGGGAGTAGTAGGAGTCATGGGAGCCGTCGGGGTCGTCGGAGTAGTTGAAGTCGTGGGAGTAGTAGGAGTCATGGGAGCCGTCGGGGTCGTCGGAGTAGTTGAAGTCGTGGGAGTAGTAGGAGTCATGGGAGCCGTCGGGGTCGTCGGAGTAGTTGAAGTCGTGGGAGTAGTAGGAGTCATGGGAGCCGTCGGGGTCGTCGGAGTAGTTGAAGTCGTGGGAGTAGTAGGAGTCATGGGAGCCGTCGGGGTCGTCGGAGTAGTTGAAGTCGTGGGAGTAGTAGGAGTCATGGGAGCCGTCGGGGTCGTCGGAGTAGTTGAAGTCGTGGGAGTAGTAGGAGTCATGGGAGCCGTCGGGGTCGTCGGAGTAGTTGAAGTCGTGGGAGTAGTAGGAGTCATGGGAGCCGTCGGGGTCGTCGGAGTAGTTGAAGTCGTGGGAGTAGTAGGAGTCATGGGAGCCGTCGGGGTCGTCGGAGTAGTTGAAGTCGTGGGAGTAGTAGGAGTCATGGGAGCCGTCGGGGTCGTCGGAGTAGTTGAAGTCGTGGGAGTAGTAGGAGTCATGGGAGCCGTCGGGGTCGTCGGAGTAGTTGAAGTCGTGGGAGTAGTAGGAGTCATGGGAGCCGTCGGGGTCGTCGGAGTAGTTGAAGTCGTGGGAGTAGTAGGAGTCATGGGAGCCGTCGGGGTCGTCGGAGTAGTTGAAGTCGTGGGAGTAGTAGGAGTCATGGGAGCCGTCGGGGTCGTCGGAGTAGTTGAAGTCGTGGGAGTAGTAGGAGTCATGGGAGTCGTCGGGGTCGTCGGAGTAGTTGAAGTCGTGGAGGTAGTCGGAGTCGGAGTAGTCGAAGTCGTGGAGTTAGTCGGAGTCGGAGTAGTCGAGGTCGTCGGAGTAGTCGAAATCGTGGAGGTAGTCGGAGTCGTGGAAGTCGTCGAGGTCGTTGAAGTAGTCGAAGTCGTGGGGGTAGTCGGAGTCGTGGGAGTAGTCGGAGTCGTGGGAGTCGTGGGAGTCGTCGGGGTCGTCGGAGTAGTCGGAGTCGTGGGGGTAGTCGGAGTCGTGGAAGTCGTCGGAGTAGTCGAAGTCGTGGGGGTAGTCGATGTACTAATAGTGGATGGCGTTGATCCACATTCTACAATCATTGTATCTAACAGTGGTCCCTTTGCACAATCCTCGTTTTCTTGCGAGTTGCATTGATAACATTTCAACGCACTTCCTGTAAAAGAACAAAAAAATTAACTAATTAAACTAAGAAGCGCTACTAACGGTCTGAATGTTAAAATGTTGAACTATTCTAAATTCATTTAAATGAATTTAGAATAGTTCTACATCTTAACATTCAGACCGTTAGTGACGCTTCTTAGTTTAAAGTAATGTATTTAACATAAGCGGTCTTTCATTCTTATTATTGTTTAACTAATTAAAACTTTTATATGAATTATGTCATGCAGTTTTTCTTTGATTGTCAAAACTGTATAACTATTCATTAAATAAAAAGTAACAATATCAAATATAATGAAATATGAAAAAAAATGATAGTGTTTATTCTCAAATTTCTTAAGACGCATCTGGACTAAATACAAGTGAATAAATACAAATAAAATATCAAAGACATGTTAGAAGACTGATTTGCACAAGAAGCATTGTTGTGTCTATGACCAGTCACAATATTAAATTTGTTTATTTTTCACAATACATTAATGTTTATCGTTAAGTAGTCCCTTTCACAGTTTTATTCGTATATTCTCGTATCGTACACGTATAAACCACTACGAGTTCACACCCTTTACCGACCTCGACAACGCCTGGGGACTGTCGTCCTGAGTCGAGGCGTGACACCGCCTGGGGACTGATGCCCTGAGTCACTTTCACGGCACGGCAACTAACGCCTGAGGTCGTCACCTTGAGTCGCGGAAGCTCGGAAAGATCACTTAACACACACCTGAGAGAGCCGATGTTTCACCGTAGCACGGTCAAAATTGAATGCCTAAAAATCGTCCCTTCCCGATCATCGTGCACGTTCGCCGTCGTCGCCGAAATCACCCGAAGGTTGTTTTTCCGCCGATTCGTGTATTCAAAGAGGCCGCGATATCGATGGCTCCGAGATATCGCGCGAATCGTTACCACATGGTTAAACCGAGAAGAAAGACGTCGGACCGCGGTTCGAGATTAAGAACGCCGAAAGTTCTTTATTCTATACCGCCCGTTTCTGAACTTATACCGCGATTTCTGCTCTCTCTCTCTTATTATGTGTGATGTATGTTTATATATGTGTGAGATCTTAAGAGCCGTCCGTTCAACGCTTAATTTTGTCATGCACGACCCTTAGAGCTCATATACGGAACAAGCATGTTGGCATTGCGTTTTGTTAATGTACTTATGGCGAAAAAAGCAATAAAAAAATTATTACAATTTCTTTTATAACATAGTTATTTTTCCATAAATTTCATTTAATTAAAAAAGTACTACAATAAAAAGAAGAAAAATGTGATTCAAGAAGAGACAATTAAATTTTCGATTGTTTCATAATTTTTCTATTAATATTCTTCAGCTTGAAAAAATAAATTTAAGGATTGTATTAGTTAAATGAAAAAATGTTTGTTACTATACGACATTTTATTGTAATAACATAATTTGTTATAGTAAAATGATTGAAATCACAGACATGTATATAGGGATAGATATATTTCTATAAAAATGTAAAGGATGGTTGTCTCAATCATATTAGTACATTTTTATTACAATAATTAGTTGTTTAAAAAGTCTAATCTCGAAATTATAAAACTGTGCCAATGAGCTGCGATCTCCTTTAATTCGTACTCATTAAAGCAAGTTGTTCATTTAATCTTGTTCACGCTCACTTGCTTTGTCTAGATCCGGCTTTACTTGAAGTAAGAGAAATCCAATTACGCTTGCTGGCATTTTTCAATGTAAAACTGGAAAAGCGTGCATCTTTTCATTTAAATATGTAGTTAAAAGGATCCTAAAGTGAAGCTCGAACTCCGACGAGATTACCAGAGGTTGCTGTTATATAGCACATCGGCGTATCTCTTTATATACTACCACACAAATATCTCATGCAAACTATGATACACGCAGTCGCATATTTGTGTCAATTTTTTCAATATAATTTATTCAATACAATGAATTCATCGCGATACAGTGTCTAAGGACGGAATCCATAAACATTGTTCAAGATTCGACGTGATTTTAAGCGAATGCTTGAGATGAACCAATCAGAAAACCATATTAGGACTGGTATCCATAGTCCGTTCTTAACCATCTCAAGCAATGTCTTAAGATGCTAATACTCTCTGATTGGTTTATGAAATCTCAAGCATTAGCTTAAGATCATGTCGAATCTTGAGCAACGTTTATGGATTCCGCCCTAGCATCTTAAGACATTATTTGAGATTAAGAACGAATTATGGATACCGGCTTATGTCTAATTCCAAAAACTCGACGTTGTTTGTTCATGCGAACTACGTATCTATGGACCACAATTTCGTAAGTACAGATTGCAAAGTTTTTATATCAAACAAATGTTGTTACGATATTGACAGCTCTAACGCCATATTGGACTAAAAAATGGTAGAGAAGATCTCAATTTATACAATTTTTTTTATTTTCGATATAAATTCCACTTCACAGACACGTATTAATGTATATGCTTTAATCCTGGAAAATGATTTTCAAATTTATAAACGAGGAAAAAAGTAATTGTTATACAAAAATTATTGCATTTAGTCGGTAATACAAACGACTTTAGGATTCCCTTAAAATTCTTTGTTAATTACAACATTATTAATAGAATCAAATAAATTATCGAAAATTTATTTCGTACCTGAGTATAGAATAGTGAATACAACTACTAAAGTGATGATTACAAAAGGGCGATCTTGCTTTGCCATCTTTGATGTGTTGTCAGATACGTCGAACCAATAACTGTCGCGATACTTTGAGATATCCGGATATACTTTCAATGTTATCATCGATTTTCACTACGGTGACACTGACTGTGATAAACATGAATTATCGCAAGCATCAGCCTCCCTCAAAGCTATCATTTCTGTCTCAATTAAGATATAAAAAGATGGATTATCAGATAATTATCATCCCTTTGTTGCAATTATATAATAATTTCTATCGTAAGGAAAAATAAAGTTTAGAAATATACAAATTAGAAATGAGTTACTTTCTTAACTAGAAAATTGTATTGAAAATTAATAAGAGATAAAGATTATTGATTGTAAAGCTGAAGGTTAATAATAAAGATAACGATAATTAATAATAAAAATAAAGATTTTTAATAATAAAGATAAAGAATATCTAGTAAAGAAGAAAACGAGTAATATCTAATAAATTGTATTATTGCGGTTATTAATATAAATAGTGTGATATTAAATTCGAGGATACATTCTTAGCAATCGATTTCATGGATGACTAAGCGTGACGTCGCTTGACTGGCGCGCGGAGAAACATTTTAAGTTCAGTTACGAATTATAGTTAACATTGTAAAGAGTACACGTTACCGTAACATCCACATTTTTTGTGCATTCGAGCGAGAAAACTGCGAGACCGTTAGGTCAACGCAAATAGTGCTATATGTCATTTTCATCGCCTCTTGATACCACAATTATAATAAAAATCATAGACTATACTAATCGAACAACTAGCAAGATATATAATTGATATGAATATCATTGATCGTACAAGATATGAAGTTTTAAATTTGTTATATCTTGCCATGAATATAATAAATGAAGGTAACAAATTAAATTTCTGATTTTTAATTAAAGTTTCGAAGTTAACGAAGAAAATGATAGAATTTCCTTTCAATTTCCTCTTTAATTTCCTGTCACATACTGTATAAGCTTCTCGAAAATAAAGCTTAAAGAAAAATCATTTAAAACTATTATTACGCAAATTGTGATGAATGCTTGATTTATCTCTTTGTCCTCCGATTTTCTTTGTCCGACGACTTTTTCTTTGCGCTATCGTGGAATCTTTCCCATTTAAAACCTTTCAGTTTCATTTATACGTCTATGTCTATTTTAATTCATTAAAAACATCCGTACATTCAACTTTTCTTAATGAAACGATCGATTTTCGTGATTGTCCAAACGATTTGCGAGAAAATTCTTTTAAATATAAATTAATTTTGAGATTTATCGGATTTGAAGTGACTAATATAGAGAACTGATTTATAAATTATTATTTATCGTTTATCGTTGAGACGGACGTTGATATCAATTGATATCGCCAATAATTATTTACATAAACTCGCAACGACCGATACTATAAGTATTATCATTGGAAATATCAGCCTTTTTTTGCACAAAGTATAAGACTCCGTAAAATTGTAAAAATTTATTACAAGAAAGTAAGTAATTTTCTGTTAGATATATGTAATCTTTACGTAAATCATCCTTATATATTTAAATATGAAAAGTTACATCATTAAATATCAGTTGCATCATATTAAAAATAAGAATTCGTTACTTTTAAAATTATAATTTATTCAAAGCATTTTTCATTTGAATTTATATGCTGTTCCCAAAGTCTTTTTAGATCATAAATACTTTGTCTCTAAATGTTCATGTTTTTGAAAAATTGATGTCCCGTTGAATAGCCTGAAGTTCTGCAGATCGTCTTTCCGATATGGAAATTTGCTGAACCATCATTGGACTATGCGCTCATTAACGCCAGTCTCTTCAAACACGATATTTTGCATAGTTTGAGCAGCAAAACGCCTTACTTTAAATTATTATGGTTGCTTGAATATCTACTCTAGAATGTTATGTTAGAATGCACTTATCAGTAAGATAATACACGATCATTGATTTATATGTATATTAATTTTAACTTAGTATATGGATAAAGAAATATACAATATATATACATATATATATGTATATTTGACTTATAATTTAATGCTGTTATAAGCCATTTTTTCCGCAAATAATATAATCTGACATTTTAGCTGCATCAACTAATATTTTGGATTTTGGATTTTAGATTTTTGATTTGTGTAAATTCCAGCATCAAAGTAATCGGATATAATAATTATTTTGAAATTACTTCAAACGCGATACGAGAAACGGTAAAACTAGGGAATGATTATGTCGTGAAAGGGGAGAACCCTGTGGGTGTTCGCTAGAGCATGAAGGTATTCGCTTCCCACGCTTAAGCAGTGGAATAACAATGATGCTCACGGATGTTTGCGCATCCTTGCCGCCTCCAGTTGCCCGGCGTCAACGTGTTCTGCTTCAAGTTTCTTCAAATTTTGTCCCTCCCCCTCCTCCCCCGCGCTTGGCGAATCGGCTCTTTTTGGTCAGGCACTAGAACGTGGAATGATAATTTCTCTTTCTCTCCTTTTGCCTCTTCTTTTTCTTCTTCCGCTGCACATGATCGATGTTTTCTTGAAATATAAACGATGCTGTATAACTTTTTATATATCAAACTTGTAACTATAGTCTGTTAGTAATCCTAGGTAACAATATGATATACGTTTTTTTATTATTTCTTCTTTTATTCTAATTCTTTTTTATTGTTTCGCAAATTTTCACGGAAGTGATATCAATCGATAAGTAATACTATATTCGAACAACAATATGTAGCATTCATATCATATAAAATTACATCGGCAAGATAAGAATATCTGATTAGTATATCAATGATTTCTGGATTTGTGTTGACAACTATCAGTTTCATCCCTATGTTGCAATGATACGAAATATAATTAATACGTTGAACAAATTTATGACACTATTGACGCGTCAAGAAAATGTTCCACGCATTTACAAGAAATCTTGGCGTTTCCGTGTTTCACTAATTGTACTTTCTTCGATAGATCAAAGTCGTTTAAATTTATTAGACACGGTGAAAGCGTGGGGCATTGTCAATACATTAGAATTAATCAACGTTCTCGGGCTATTTTTTTTTCATTATTCGTTGCATCTTGCCTCATCTCTTTATCATTGTTAGTATGAAAATCCGGTTCCAATATCGCGGAGCGATTTATGGAAAGTTAAGACAAGATAGCTCTTAAAGTAAATGCAAACTTTCTTATCAATTCCTTGAAAAGAGTCTCTTCCAATACTCGTGCAATAATCACCCACAGTTTTATTGATTTTAAAATTTCAACCGAGAAGTTCTTTGTGTGCACTGAAAAGAAAGTGATTGTATCTCACACATGCGCTTTAGATTCATGTCAGCCTTGAATTAAATTTTATAATGTCTATAGCCGAGCTAATTATTTTTTACTCGATTAAATTTTTTTATTCATTTAAAAGTTTTATCATTGTAGCGATTTTTGAATCTATATTTGTATTTTGTGTTTGCATTCGGAAGGTTTGCGACTTTCTCGTGGATTTCTGCCCTTTACGATAAGTAAAGATGCGCGTGAAATGTAGAAAAAAGAAGGTGTGGAGGAATACGTGGGTGTACAAATACATTCCGAGATAGGAAGGAGTACGGGGATGAGAGAGACGTAAAGCTATGCCAATTGTATGCCAGTTACTGAGTTGTCAGGATATTACTCTGGTGAAACGAGGACACCGGGATCAAATCGACAGCGTCTCTCTAGCATCGACACCTCAATGTTCTCACAAGCGTGCGTCATGCGGGATTCGTGAATATTCATAGTAAATATAAAGATCACACGCGGAAGTCTAGCAAATTTACGAAACGTGTACAATTTTTGACAATATCCTATTAATATAATTCTCTTACGTGTTTTATTAAAACAAATAAACTAGCATACAAAAATTTATTTTAAAAACCTTCACTTGGCGCGAAATAACGTTTTTTCAAAATTGTTTTTAACTCAATTTGTAATATCGTATACTTTTTATTTAAATAAAATGTTATTGTTAAGATTATATTTTACATGTAATATAACTTAGCTGAACTTAGGTGAACTTAGGTAACTCTTTAATTTACAAATTATTTTATAGTTATAAAAAATATTTATATTTTTGTGCACATTACTTGATAAATAATAATAGATTTGTAAAAATTGGATATTTTGTTTGATATTTTCAAAACGTATAAAGACTTTTCTACTTTTATATTTTTATTGCAACAATTTATAATAAATTGCGCTATATGTGCTATAAAAGTTTTTTATATATATCTACGTGCGAAAGATTTTACAGACAATTCATATGATTTATTATTTATTTGCAAGATAAAAATCGAATTAATCCACTTTTATAATAGTTTGTCATGATCAACTACTTTAAAGAGATTTAAGAACTTTTCTGCGATGTTTATCGCGTATTAAATAAGATACCGTAAAATACCGTATTAAATAAGATAACATTTATAATGGTTTGTTCTATATTTAATTATACATAGTTCTTAGTTATTCATTTTTCTGCCAAAGCAAAATTGATTGAACATTGATTGATCTAATAAAATATATTATTAAAAATAAATAAGAATCTTTATCATCAAGGAAATTGAAAATAAGGTTTTATTGTACTAGATTAACATTGTCTCTCTCTTCCACGATTTTTTCTATAAAAATTTCCGTGTATAAAATGTTCATGGTATAAAATACTAAAAACATTTTATTTATTTTATATAAATGCATTAATAAGGCTAATAAATTAATGCATTGATGGTTTATGTATCCAACATTGTGTATGCACACTATATATCTTCAAATTATTGTGTTTCAAATTTCATTTTTCAATTTCAATAATAATCGCTAATAAATCTAATATTGGCATTGTTGCTTAAGATGATTTGTAAACGCATAATCACAACTAGATGAAATCGGCAATACTCGCTAAAATCATTTATAGCTATGGCATACGTGGGCCGCGACGAAGAACCATTCTAGCATCAGAATCACTACAAAGGTATAATTATCATTTATCACCAATGCACAACGGACACACCACAATTTATGGTTTGACGATGATAGTGTAGTTTTACCAGACGTGATTTTATGATGCATAAAGGAAAATTTCTTTTTAAATCACAGC